TTTTTGCCTTTATCCCGTTTAAACGCGAGTTTATCGATTACCAGAGTATTCTAAATTGTAGTAAAATTGTCCTGATCTTTTCGTTTCTCATATTGGAGTCTTCAATTATTGTATATTGATCGAAATGTGAGAGCCCGACGCCATTTTGGTTCTGGTCTGGACTAAGTTAAAACATTTTTTTGAAAAATCCAAATTTTGTATGTGTCAGGACAATTCTTAGATGATCACGAGTCATGTGTCAAAGTTTCGGACAATTTGGTCAAATACCTTTTAAAAAAAGTGTTGTATTCGAATCGACTGATTTGAGAGGGGTTTCACTTCACCTTAAGAGGATATGAAAGGCGCTAAGAAATTTAATTGACTTCGATAAAGTAAAATTCATCTGTACCCTTTTCGGTGGTTGAAGCTCACGAAATTTCATTTTTCATCCGAAATTTATTTAGTTATCATGGACTAGAACCAACATGGCGTGGTTTATTTACTTATCGTGGACTAGAACCAACATGGCGTGGAACCAACATGGTGGGTATAGGCTGACTCTCTCATATCACCTTAAGGCGTTATGAAAGTACCTAATTATTTATCCATTTTTCTTCAAATTGGACGTACTTAATTGTTTGAAACTACCACAGGAATATGGAGGAATAAGAAAGGTAAATAAGGAATTTGATGAACAAGAAATGTATTTATTTATCCCGTACTAGAACAAAAATGGCGTCGTCAATAGATATTTTTAATTTTTATGCTTTCTGGGAGAATTTATGATTGAAAAAGACTTTCAGGAACTTGATATAACAATTTAGGATATTGTAGGAATCAGATATTACACATTCACGTGGGAAATGTCAAGAAGGGTTGTAAATGAGTGTAGTGAGACTGTCGGATGTCTTCTCAGCAACGCGTACTCTTAGATCCAACTTTATTATTATATTTGTTTTTTTTTTATTTATTTTTATTTTTAGGCAATTATATATAATTGTCTAAAAATACAACAGATGGCGCCGTTGACCGATTAAAGTATCAAGAATCATGGGGATTAATTGAGTTTTACTTCGATCTCTTTATCTATTCTACTGAATATATTCTACTGAAACGATATATGCAGTTTACAAATTCGTATGATACTCAGTGTAGTACGACACAACTGGAAATATAAACATAAACGTCGGTAACTGTTTCAGATAGTATATCCGTTAGAACAATCTTTTTTACCGGTGTCGACTAAATTTCTCGACATTTTTCATATCACCGTCACGAGCGGAGTTTATTCGTGTTTCGAATAAACTTAGCCTACTTAGGACACGACATTCCCGATAGATTGTCCGACTTACACATTTCGAAAAAAGAGCAAAGAAGGAAACGGGAAAGTACATTTTTCTTAGAATACTTAGAACGCTTAAATCGATGTAAAAACAAAATATTGCGGTTCTAGTAAAAAAAGAAAGCGAAAGCAGGGTGGCCTTTGAGATGCGTCCATTTAAGAAGTTCCGTCACCCACACAACGCCTACCCTAGGTCCTTCAAACGATTTGTCAATGATTCGAATAGTTTGGAGATCCAACTTGTGTCACGGTGTTTGCCTCACTCCGTAATATTACGTTAAATGACCAGGTAGTCCTATTAAGGTGAAGTGAAACCCCCTTCAAATCAGTCGATTCGAATGCAACACTTTTTTTTAAGGGTATTAGACCAAACTGTCCGAAACTTTGACACATCACTCCTGATCATCTAAGAATTGTCCTAACACATTCAAAATTTGGATTTCTCAAAAAAATTTGTTAACTCAGTCCAGACCAGAACCAAAATGGCGTCGAGCTCTCATATTTCGATTGATATACTATTATCGAAGGCTCTGATTTGAAAATCGAAAAGGTCAGGACAATTTTACGACAATTTAGAACACTCTGGTAATCGATAAATTCGCATTTGAACGGGATAAAGGCAAAAAAAGTGTTGTATGCGCTTCTATGCCAAAACGATGATAATACAAGATGTCGGAGTGAAAATTTAATTGACCTGGAAATCACAGATGGCGCAGGGGGTCCCTCTGCAGTCAATTAGGGCCCCAGAAAGCACGAATCTAGAGGATTTCTGGAGTTTTACTTCGATTTCTTTATAATTACTGTACGAAAACGACAAGTGGAGTATGCCATTTGGTACAATACCCAATATAATTCGACACAGCTGTCGATATAAAAACGAACGTCGGCAATGTAGGCATTTAGAAAAATCTCCTTTATCGACGTCGATCAAGTTCCTCGACGTGTTTCACTTCACCTTAATTCAGAGCGAAATTAATATCTCCGTCATAATATGAGAGTTGAAGATGCTTATCAATTTTTAATCAATGAACGGAATGCTTCGCTTTAGGAAAAAAAGCTATTCAATTTCAAATTATTCTAATTAAAAAAATGTATCCTTTTCCTACTTATTGCTACTTGAAGTCCTGTTTATTAGAAACAGTTTATGTGTTACTATACACACGTGGCACGAAGAATCATACATGTAGATCGTCATCTCTAAGCAGGATGCAAGTTCCATTATATTTCGATAAAACGACATACCGTGGGTGTGGAGTAAAAGAGACGCAAGTGTCACGTAGGGACGTGGGTTGCGCCCTTTTTGATTTATTCACGGGACATGCCTAAGAAAGCAATGATTCATGCACTCGGATTGATATTGCAACTCTTCTAAAAGCAGCAACGCTCCTTCGCATAGCCTACCGTAAGTAGGGTAATCGTGTAGGAACTATTTTCAATAACGGTTGCGGTAGTATTACTGTATGGATAAACTAGATTAGATGAATATCGAGCTACATCCGTAGCTAGAAGATGAAGAACGGCACGTGCTCGCAATATACGAAACCTATTGCAAACACCAAGTAGGCAGTGCACATTCTGAAAAATAATACCCTAAAAGAGTGACTATAACCCCAGCAAATGATTTATTTGTACACGTAGGATACTCCAACAATTTCTTGCGAAGTGAATGAGAAACATCGTCGATTTATTCACTACGCGTCATGGAATTCTACGACTTCATTAGTCCAAACGCCGATATAATTACACGGAATCACGATCAGTACACAGGCACACAGACGAAGCTGCTACGAATCTGTCCGAATTTTTTCGACGTCAAAGACATCTCAACCTCGCAAGACGTCCAAAATAAAAAGAAAGGGAGGACGAGAAACCGCTCGATTTAATTTTTTTCATCTCATCTGCGCATATCGGACGTTGTATCTCGCCGTATCTTCTCGCTTCCGTACGCACGATCGCGCCGTATGATCTATCTATCATCCTATTCAGTCAAAGGGAAATAATTGTGTGGCAGTCTCGAAATGTCAGAGCGATCGGGAGTTCTCGGCTCCCCGTCGACGATTCTATACTAGAGAGGCTTTAATGGTGTGCCGAAAGCTCGTTCGAGCGCGATGCATGCAGCGGTCGCTGACTTTAGGTCGCACAGCCAAGGGATCAGTGACTGGAATTATTTGCACCATGGAACACGGTGGAGCTCCTCGTTTGAAAGTAGACCGAATTTGAAAGCCGCAGACCTGAAAACGGATACATGTGCGACGGTTTTCAAACTTGTCAGCTCCAGATCCGGTGATAAAATTGAAAAACTTAGCGTTCCGTGATCGTTAAATCCTCACCTTCCAGTCATTACTAAATTCCAATTACCCAATTACAATTTCTCCATCATAAACGGTATCTATCGTCAATAAGGAATGTTTGCAAAGAATCAATTTCGTTTACGTTTCTTCATTTCAGGTTTAATTGGCCTACCGATGTTGTCCGATCGGTAATGGCATGCACCCCTCATTCGGAATCAGTTTAAGGGGATAAACCCTGGGATGGACGAAAAAGTAGCTCCTTCTTTACCATTTTTGGTGACACCTGTAAAACAAATAGATAACTGTGTCTGCATGGAATTAGGTCGTGTTTTGAATGGTTGAAAAGGATTTTTTCATTTTGATATAAAATGTGTACATTAGGCTTTGCGAGCTGCCGAAGCTCCAGCATCCGAAGTCCTCAAAAGTCATGTGAAATAAGAAAGCCCAAGCTTTTTTTAAAATATACAAATGCAACTTCAGTTACGGAAACTCTAATATTTTTATTATTCACAAACTGACGCTCGATTTTCAGGAAAGTTCAACAATTGCCGCCAAATGATATCTTCTTCTTGGTACTTTTGGGCGAGATTTCAATCATAAAAATATGCGTACGCTCTGATATCTCATTCGTATACTTGAAGAAACATTTGGGCTCTTTCATTTCCGATGACCGGTGGGCCTTGCGGAGCTTGCAGGAACAAATTTTATACCAAGATACCAACGTATGTAATCGAAGGAAAAAAAATGAATTTTCAACAATTCAAAAAGTGACTAATTCCACGCCGAAAACAATTATTCATCTGCCTGGTTTACGGGAGGCATAAAGAATTCTCAAAGAAAGAGTTATTTTTCGGCCGTCACGGTGTTCCTTCTTTCCTTCGCGAAAAAAGTCTTCCTCCCTAGGATCGCACGTCGAGCACAGTAAACGTCGAGGGCAGAAAGAAAATGAAAGAAAATGTAAAAAAAGCGGGGAAAAGCGAAGGAAGCTGCAACGGCTCGGGAGAAAGGGAGTGATATATCGGCTATCGGGTATCGGCAGGCGTTCGGTCGCGCGGTGAGTTAGTACCCCGAGATATTTAGCGGCGCGTGTACCGCGGCGTAGTGGGAGCGAGAGAGGGCTCGCGGCGGCCGCGCCACGCCGCAAACCCCGAAGGAGACATTCAGTCGTCGAGGCCCGCTCGCGCCCGCAGCACGCGACGTCCTCGCGCCGAGCCCGTCCGCGCGACTGTGGCGACCCCTCGATCTCTCCGATCGCCGACCAATCGCCGATCGCCGCCCGCCGAGCGCCGCGAGGTCGCTGCGCGCGCATCGCCTGAGAGCCCGCGGAGATGCGGCGCTCCTCCTAGGCCAGACGAAGGACGTCCGTCAGGTGAGTACGCGTAGTGCTAAGCGCGCGTCGACGATGGCCCGACGATGCGTCCGCGGCCGTCCGCTCCGCCGCGTTTCGGCCGCGTCATCGAATCGGATTTTTCGCGTCAAGGGACAACACCGGCAACGTTGACCGAGGTCGGTATTCCGCCGCGACCTTAGATCGGCCGTAGACGGACGAGGAGGTTCTCGCGCTAGCCCGTTGCGACTCTCGAGGCCGATGTTCGAGCCACGTGAGTAGGGTATATCTTTGCAAAAATGGTGGAGGGGTTAGCTCTTGCGATCTGTCCGGAATACGGCATATCAGAGGTAACTATTAGATTTAGTTGAACCTAAGAATTTCCCGGGAAATGAAATAAAACGAGTGATTGCTCAAATTTCGTTTAAATCGCGTGAATTCTTTTGGCTCCTTGTTTACGTGACCTTCGATGTTCCTTTCGGTGATGAACGGTGATTTATATATGCACTGTAAAAGGATGGAACGGGATAACTTGGATTTCCGGGTTTCTCCCGGAGGTCCTTTCGTAAAGGTCGTAAGATGAGATTTTTCGTTGACGCTCGGTCATAATATTAGGATATGGTAGCCTCCGTATAAGACTGAAATTGAGGATGGAAAGGATGAGCTGCTAAGCGGATGTAATAAAGAAATGGGCAAGACGTGTCGTATGGGAGTAACGGGGAGAGAATATGTTAATGTATTCGAAGGGGATAAAATCATTTGTAATATTTATTTTAGCGTTCGAAATGGTCGCTCTTGCAGCGTTTATGGGGTTCCTCTCTAAATGCTTGTATACAGCTGGTTTAATTAAATTGCTGGAGATGTATTGCCGAAGAAGTATGATGTCACTGTTTGAACCTGTGTTTCTTTCTTCCTCGGAACTTGTTTTCTTGACGCGTGTTGGAGGAGCTGACAGCCATTAATTTCAGCGTTCCCCCTAGATTTTAAGATTACATAAGATTTGGACGGATTCCAGAGATTTTACGAAATTGCGAGGATTTTTAAAGGCTCCGAAAGATTTTATAATTACTCGTGGTCACGTGATCTTTTAATCGTGATCGAGTGCTACTTTTAGCAGCGGACATTGTAATATTAGTCATAAGGACAAAATAAGACATTGCTCGATCTTTAACAAATTACAGATGCGATTACCTTCGCGTGAAATCGTCATGACCGATCGAACAAACGAGACTAAATTTATTCAGACAAGATTGTTATCTGTAATTTTTCCGTCTACTGGCGCAGTGCTTGCTGACTTATTATCTTATCGTGGAAACGTACAACCGAAGCAAATGGAGAAATTACTCTAGAATTCATTTCTAATCATCGAGAGGAGGAATTAACAGGGCGGCAAATAACGCTAACGAATGGGTATAACTTCACTTATCATTATGTGCATAATTTTCTCTACCTTGCACTTTCGATATGTACCCGAGCCTTAAACGATTCGCGTCTCCTTGTGCTATTAAAAGGTACAACTTTGTAAATGAAAAAGAGAATAATAGGCTATTCCTGTTTGACGGTGTTTTTTAATTTACTGGGAATTTTATACTCGGTTCTCCATTCCAATTTTCTAATTGTGTGTCCAATATTTACCAGGGAATCTGATCGCTTCAATTCACTGCGCAAGATTAAAAATTAATTTAGGGGCTATGACGAAAAAGTACGCTAAAATTACACGCAGGACATTCGTCAAAGGTTAAAATGGATCTAAAGAAAAACCCGACCATTCGTTGCATTGTACTCTCGTGTACCTGTTAAACGTCTGTGAGACGGACAAATTCTGCTCCACGTCATCGTGGATTCACAAAAGGGAAACTCTGGGAACAGGAGGCGCAATCATAATTACACTCCCTCAATGGCGCCTAGGGACGACTAATTAGACCCCCCATTGTGGAAGGGAACTAATACGTAGTGGTACATGGTTAGAGATACGGCACCTCGAAGGAAAAGTGTCTTTGATTCGAATAATCTGCCGATCAAATGCGACGATTCATGCTTTCTCCGCTCCGAAACGCACGATTGGATCTGAATTTACCCTGTCTAATGTGACGTGAAAGTTTTATTTTACGGATCAATTTCCAATATTTCCAATTTTCCACCGAACTCTCTTCCTTTTCCCACTCTTTTTTTGCCTATCGCGCGATGAAAGTCGAGACGATAAATCGAATCGATTTAGTCAGAATGTACCATTTTCTGAGCCACTCCCAAGTCACTGATTACTGAACTAATCTTCAATTTAAAAGAAAAATCAGATTTGAAGCAGTAAAAATATAAATATCGTAAACTGGATGATTGTACTTATCAATTTAGAACTTCAGTGTTAAGCGATTCGACTTTGAAGAAGACCTTGAACGGCCTTGTGCCATAGGTCGTTGAACTCGTTTTAACAGCTGGGACGAGTCTGTGAGACAAAATATGGTATCTTATTTTGTGAAGGGAACACAACCTTCGCGTCTATTTCCTACATCCTAAGAAAAGCTCTTGCTACTCGGAGAAAAAGTAGCCGGGAAATAGGCACCAGTCCCTAAAGGGATACGATATACAATTACAAAAAGAAGGAATAACTTAACCAATCGTAACTGTACAAACTATAGTTGCATATCATATACATTTAGGGAACGGCTGCTTATCGATGCTGAGTACGATAAAATGAGAGGGTCAGTTTTCCCTGCAAAAAGAAATATACGCACAAATTATAACACTTCGTGATCGATTAAACCCGGTGTCCAGTTACAAAAGGAGACCACGAGTATCCAGCAATAAATGACAACCTCTCTCGTTGAAACGAATCCCTTATCACGGCCGTCTCGGTATGATTCAAAGAAAACAAGATATACTCCCACGGAAGACTTATTCTTGGCCCGATCTACACCTTCCGAATCGCCACCGTACTGCAATATGGCTGGGGTTTACAAGTATCGGAACGAATTAATTGTGTATCCGAAATCGAAGAATTTCTTATCGCTCGGTAAAACGATGTTGCAACTCACTTGGAAATATGAAAAATATGACTATTTTTCCATAGTTTTATTTCGTCTCTTTGAAACTTACTTTGTACCGGGCTCTGTATCTTCATTGGTTGGTCAGCAAACATAGCTACATGATTTTGGGAGCGTACCTTGATCTGTCAAAAAGGCCACGCGGTGGCGTACCTTGTCGCCTTTGCATCAGCGATTTGACGGTCGCAACGAGGATCGCGAAAAAGAAGTCGAATCCGCGATCGCTCCCTGAGGTCGTTACCGGACATCGGCTCGCGACCGGCAGGGTCCCACCGATTTTAACGACGTCTCGTAAAACGCTCGTTTGATAAGGCCCCGAGTTGGGCGCGTTCCGTTTCGGCCGGCGGTAAACGCCGGGGACAAGAGAGCGGCGTAACGAGACGGGGTATAAGAAAAAGTGCGTATAAACGGGGAGAGCGCGATGCACGCCTCGGGCGTACATATTCGGCGAAGGTTTCCGCACCGGCGCGGATCTCGCCGATGAATTATTTATCCCGTGATCTCATCTCCGCGTGACTAAGTTGGGGAAATCTAAGCGAAACGCGAGGTAGTGCCCGGCTACCGGGTGAAATTACGCCCGATCCATCTCGGGGAGATCGCTCCAACCACCCTCCGGTAGACTCCGCTCTCGCCTGGAGATACGGACTTCCGAGGAATTCCCTTCCAGGGTTCCCGGATGGGATTTTATCGCTATCGCCGCTCCCGCTCCGAAAAGGTGGGACTCGGTGTTACGACCGCTCGGTACGGCTCGGGACCTGCGCCGACTCGCGGCCGAGGGGAACACCTCGCACCTGTTTCGCGGAAATGTTGTAAAGGGGAAAGCTGGGGAGAAAGTAATAAAATGAGAGCGGGCTGGATGTTGATGCAAAATTGTACACGCCATGGGATTTTATGGGCCCCGCCGCGAGAAGCGGTGGCAGGAAAATTCGAGGCCAATGCGCGACGTTCGTCCCGTGTGACGTAAGCGCACCGCGAGGAATATTGTAGGGAAAAAAAAATGTGCGTTTGGAGATAAAGAAAGAGGGAGAAATGTGCAGCTGTAATTGAGACTTCACTTTGAGAAGCTCTCGATCGTGGGCTAAGATCTGGAGATATAGGTGATGATTAGAGGCTGATGTAAAGTCGGATTTTTTCTGGGTTTTTTTTTTTTCGTGGAACAGGGAGGTAATTAGGAGCTAATTGACTAGGGAATTGTCGACGAGATTATCACGGCGGGAGGGTTCCGGGGTTATTTATTACGATATGTCATAAGCTGCGGGGGTACTTTGAAACTTATCTTCCTGGCGGAGAATTTGGTAACGAGCGTTCAAATACCATTACCAAAATACCTTGTCATCGGAGCTTGCTTTACTCTTTGGGCCGGTAATTAAAAACCTGTTTCATCGACATTCCTTCTAGTCCTAATCCGTATCCAAATCGTTAAAACTAACGATCATTAAGAGGCCGAAGGCGATTTATCATCGGTCATTTTCAAATTAAACGGTCGGTAAAATTAATGATTAGGAGCGATTATTCGAATCTTCGGAAACCTGAGAAGGAACGCGCGTACGAACGAAAAATTGATGGGCTTAAATTACTCGTGGAAATTTGAATCTTCGAATCGTGAATTCGAGAGCGTATAAACATCGGTTGATTTTATCCACTTTCTCTTGCCTCCGTCGATACTTTCATCCTCGGGTCTTTTTTTTTTTTTTTTTTACGTAACTTAATTCCGTTTCCCACGAGCCTCTTTTCTGCACGAAGTTCCCTGGAGCACGACTCGGCGCACTCGAGCACGATTAAGAATGGGCATATTTTTGTTCCACGAATAATTTTACATCGATTAAACATCTGCCCAGAAATACCTACACGATTGCTTGGTATAACATCACTGGCCGCTCATAATTTTTACCGCGAAACGTTTAAAAAACTAACTATAAATAATCTCACAATTCCTTTTCAAACGACCCTATGTACAGGGAGGATCGGGTACAATTGTAACTTTTTCAATAGATTTCTTTTTTTACCCTGCTCAAAAATATTTGAAGAAAGATAATATTGTGCTGTGATTGTAACTTTAGCAACAAGATGTTACCTACGATCATCTTTCTTACAGGTATATTGATAAAATTAATAAAGTTAGAATTATAACGGATAAAGGGAGACGTTTGTAATATAGATCAAAAGAATGAAAATTTCTTTAATACAAAATATTACATGAATTTTTATTCCAATAATAGCTCGCAAGCAAACC